TCAAAACCCCTTTCAAATTTTTATTTTATGTAAACTTTTTTATTCTATAATTTATTCCATAAAATTTTAAATAAATTTAGAAAGTAATTTTCACCAATTAAATAATTTAAATTGATTTTCTTCTTTTTTTATATATATACATACCTATTTTAAAAAAATATGTTAGAGCCTTTAAAATAATTATAATAATTAACACAATTAAATAACTTATAATAAAATTTGGTTTAGGGATATCAAATTATTTTGTGATTTTATACTTCGTGAAAATACTTTAAGTTAATTAATTAAATTACTCTTTAAACAATTTATAACTTTAATCCTAAAAAATTACAAGTTAGTAAATGATTTATAGGCTCAAAAAATACACTGATGATTAATTCTTTACCAGTATTGTCTTTTCCTGCAACCGTAGTCAATGTCATGTACACAAAATTTAAAAACTAAATACATAATAAGGAACTTCAAATTCCAATTAAAATATATAATCATATATAGAGCTTTCTGTCTAACTGAAATTAAAGTTATACACGTTTATCAACAAGACAAGTTTATATTCCAGAGAATCTGCAAACAACTGAAGAAGCTCTCAATCTGATTAACACAGTTCAATATTTTCAAAACTAAAATTGTCAACGCATATGAGAAGAACAACTCCACAATATTAATAGTGCTTATATTAATATTTAAATTTTAAAATTAAATAATTTAAGTAATTCTAAGAATTAATGCCCTTTCACGTATAAGTATAACATTAATTTTGAGCACTTATCCCCTCCTACCATTCAAATTGGACCACTGTGGAAGCGTATGCTCTACATTGGGAAACCTTGTTCTATACATTTCGTTTTACTGCACATATAGTTTTCATAAAACTCCATATTTAGTTGAATTTTGTTATAGAAATCTTTTACAATGCAACAATGAACAATGATTAATTCCATTCCCTTTCAAATGCAAATACAACCTTATCTTCCTACCATCATCTAATTTTAACTTCAGCAATCATAAAAATAACCAATAGTAACCACCAGTATTTCTTAACTCCTAAGAGTCAATGAAATACTTAAAGAATATCAAAGGTAATTTCTTCTGTTCATCATAAATATCATCATAAATAAATAAATAACCTTGTACCACTTTTGGAAGTGAAAGCCGTTTTCTTGAAATTACTCTAAGTATTTTATTGACAACTAATAGACAAAACTGCTTTACGATTAGTATTCTCCACTTGAATCTAAACACAAAACTAAACTTTCCACAGGGTTACTCATAAAATTATCCACAAATAGTATTCACCTTGACCTTGGAAATATCTCAGTGACATATTAGCCTAAATAATATCACAGCCTTTCAAGGTAGACTGTTTCTCTCAACATTATTCGTGGTTTCATTAATGAAGTGTGTTTAATGAAATTTTTAGTAGGCAACTGACTAGCAGCATTGCACTTTTCATGCTATTTGTGGAATTAATTACAGTCTATTATTAATTAAATAAACTTATTAAATTCATCAACACTGATGGTATTAAAAAGGAAGAAAATTTCATATAATTTTTCTTATTATATTATTATTGTAGTGAAGGATTAAACCAATGGGAACTTACACTAACTCAATTTCATTTCTGTCAAGTTGATTTAAAGAAAATTAAAAAAAAAATAATTTCATTGAATTTCCTAAGACAATTAAGCGAAAAAAAATTTCATTTTCAATTTAAATCAAATCAATTCAAATTAAATTTTGCAACACTTTACAGTGCTCTGTCAGCCGTACTTCTACTTCACAGGCTGAAGGATACTCACCTGACGCTGAAGTATGTAACTGAACTCAGTTGCGGAATTCCAACGATTCTCACTCATTTTTATTAGTTTTTTACTGCCGACTTTCTATTTATTTATTCCTTGTTTTTTTTCTAATTTTTGTTGATACTACAAATTAAGTTATTTTTATTTTCCGTTTTTCCGTGTTTCCGTTTTCACGTTTTTACGTTCTTCCTCTTCCCAGGAAGGTCGCTACAATGCAGTTCCTATTTTTGGCGCCTAAGAAGGGTACACCGAAAAACCCAATAAAACTTTTTCAATGATTTTGTTTGTGGCGATGGCACGGGTGTATGTGCATTTTTATGCAACAGAATATTTCACGGCTGTGGCACTATGGCACTATGGCACTATTGCCCTATGTGCCCCAAGTATAAAGCGGTAAGTGTGTCTGTGTGGTAGGGAGTTTATTTTTCAAGTTCACTCTTGGCAAAAGTGTGATAACGCCTACAAGAGGAGTCCTTTGTACACAGATGGCTCTTATTGCTTATTGCTTAAGATGTGCTGAGATGGTCCCTTGTGTGGAGGTGCTTTAATTGCATGGTTCACATTGAAATATCTTCTAAAAATACATTAAAATGTTTTGAATGTTCATACATAAAACAGAAATGTGCTATTGGGTGTTGTTGATTGCAAAGCAATTTAGTTAGGAGTGTAATAATTTGTTGTTGTTGTTACTGTTGTTGTTATTGTTGTCTGAATGTTAGTCAAATGCAATTCAGTTATGAATTGCTAAATGCTGCTCATATGTCATTTGTGCTTGTAAGGCCTCAGTCAGACTGCTTTCCTTGAAGTACACCACTTTGCCTAGTGTAAATATGACAAAATGTTAAAGTGTGGCTGGAGTTTGAGTTGTTGTTGATGTTATTTTTTTTTTTTTGTTTTTTTTTGTGTAGGTTACTTTTCAATGAATGTGCACTTTGTTTGCGGTTTGCTATTTTACATATCTTAGCACAAATTTATACACATTTCTTTTATATACTTCGACTCTTCATACATTTCAGTGCAACGGAACTGCTCTTCGATGCGAAATTTATTACACGTTACGTAAAAATATTGTTCGCACTTATGTCTTTAATGAATCAAAATAACACAGCTTTTAATTTAATTTCCTACTGCCTCTACTTCAAGCAAAGATACTCAGTCCGTCGAACGTTTTCTGAATGTATTCGATACTTCGACGAATCCGTTGTGACTGCTGCACAAAATCAGTTGCGAAACACACTCAACCAGGAAGTCCTCTTTGTGTGCGAAACGCTTTGCTGCTAGTCGTATGGGACCAACGATTTCACCTAACACCAATGCAACACACTTTTGTTGAGCTACCGAAGCTACTGAACTTAGTAGGACTCTGCACACATTGACGTTCGCCAACAACTTGTTCACTGCAAACAACAAGCAACACTAAACAATCAAACATTCAACAGCAACAAATTAAATTATTTGAGAAATGAAAACAAAGCGAAGCAACGCCGGAAATGAAATTCAGTGTTGAAGTTTAGCATTGAGAGCGTAAATCCCACAAACACAGTAAGTGACGACAATGGAAAGCTTTGCTTAAGCAGCTTTCAAAAGCTCTCCATTTTGTAAGGACATTGCCATATAATTAAAATTACAGCTTTACTTATTCCCTGCTGGAGTTTTATTGACATAGAAAAATAGTTTTCATTAGACTCAAGTGATAAATGATTGTCACCACCCACTTTAAAAGCAACAAACACATTACAGCAGTGGAATAAATAAATAGCTTTTTCTTAATATTTTTAACTTTTCCCCAAAATATGGCAGCTCTTTTATAGTAAAGCTATTGTGATAATTTTATGAATGAATTTACGTAGTATAAACCCATACTAATGCGTCCTTAAACATAAAGCAATCCTCGTGAAAGCACAATGTAAATGAAATACTAAACTTGAATTTCTCCCACACTTCCACGAACTTCCTTTATATCCTTTTTTTGAAAAGATAAAGTATTTTATCTAAAACAATCTTAACCTCAACTAGTATTTCGTATTGAGTGAGGCAAGTTGACATTTTCAAAAAGTATCTTAGCTTTTCGTTATCAATTTAGAAATAATAGCGAAATTTTATTGGGTTTTAACCCCAAGACTTTAATAACTTATCATTGCATAGTTAAAATTTTATTATTAATTTAACTTTTTATTTATTATATTATAATATACTACTTATATTCATTATTCTTTTAACATACCATATATTGAATTCAAAGGAACAGTTGAAGAATTTATTATATGCTCCATGAGGTTAGTATAAGTCTTGAGTTTATATGAAAGTTACAGACATTCGCTGTACAATCTTATTAATATAAGAAGAAAAATTTTAATTTTGTTGGTAAAAAGCATCGGAGTGCTCCATATGATATACACAACGCCATGAATTTCAAGTCAAAAATATGGAATAATGTTATCCACAATACTAGCTGAACTTACGATTGACAAAGGCATATATTGGGCCAAGGATTAAGAAAATTTGTATTTAGAACTTGATCTTTCAATAACCAGTATTCGGAGTATGGATCTTATATTATTACACAAAATAATATTATAGCTTTATACAAACGAAATGAACATTAATCCTTTATCACGAACGATAGGTCGAGATCTTATGACATGTACCCATAGCCGCAATATAACATTATGTATAGTTTTTATTACGAAAGCACTCAGCACAAATCGAGAGTACTTTTTAAGTGTAGAGGCGGTCTTTTTAAATTGAACGACAGAGTATTTAATATATAAGAACGTGATTGTTCTTTGTCTAATCATTATGAAATAGAAAACATTTGTAGGTGTACCTATATCGGACTTTCAGAGAATAATTTAAAGTCTGGTTAAATGGTAGCAATACTAATAATCTGTATACATTTATGAAAAGTATGTATTTTAAGTGACAGAAAATTATTTCACAAACGTTCAATAAAGTCTGGCATGACAGCCTGATCCACAAAATACCTCAGATACTCCCGCAAAACTCACACGCAGTACTTGAATCGTACTTGGTAGACAGATCTTTCAGAGTAAAGTACTATTTATTTTGCAAAATAAATAAATATTATTTTTTAAAACATTTTATATTTTATTTACAAAAACATCATGAATAGCAGAAGAAAAAAAATTATTTTAAACTCATTATTTTTATTCAATATGAATAAAAATATACTGCGATTTTAAAATAAATTCTACCCATACTAAAAATAAGGAACCACTCTGAAATTATCGAAAGAACCGTCATATCTTGAAGTAATATCAATTGTGTCTTGAGGTAAAACAAGAGCTTTGAGGATACGCCGAAGTATTGTGGCAGACTTCAAGTCAAATTCATTTCCACGTACTTGCAAATACTTCAGAGTAACAGGCTTCTTCAATGTTGTGAGTATAAGATTCATAGCACTTGCACCTATTTTATTGGTTTCGATATTCAAGTATTCTAATTGAAAACATGAACTTAGATAGTGTGCAACAACTTCCCCACCGTGAGTACCCAAACCATTACGGGAAATATCCAAACGTTTGAGTGTACCACTCTTGGCAATAGCGCGTAACAAATATCTCACACCGTCCGAATCAATATTATTACATGCCAACTCTAATTCGTAGAGTTTCGATTTCGTGCGATACAAATACTCAGCAATTACTTCCATATCCTGTGCGAAAAACTGACAATTATTTAGTTTAAGAACTTCCAGTTTATTCTGTAAAATCAATGATGACACAATGCTGGCCATCTTTCTCGTTTCCAACGTTATATAATTTCCTATCAATCCACTACAATCAAATATTTTCAAAGAAGTTGACTTATGCACACCATCGGCTAACATAGCGAACTTGAACTGTGATATGTCACAATTTGCCACACTAATTTCTTCCAGCGTTTTAGAGTCTATTAGAAAGCTACGCAAGCCACGAACCGCGTTTTCATTTAACGGGGTACCTGTAAAATTCATCACTGTTAAAACAAAGTTTTAAAACATATATTAAGTTATATCCACCATCTAAAATTAAATTCGTAGCACTCATCACTAAACCACATTCGCCAAGAATCTTGAAAAATAGATCAGGTAAGTGCATTAATAAAAGTTCGATTCTTTTAACCGGCCTTAAAACTTTTAAAAAAGTTGCAACTATATCGGGTTCGCCTATCACAAAAACTCCTCTCAAGACCACGGATTTTAGTATACGCAAATCGATAAATTTTACTATTACTTTAAAGTCTAAATAAAACAAAAAAGTTCTATTCATTTTCTCCTCGAATTCAAGACGACTAAATCGAAAATGTCGGTAAGGTCTCTTATCATACTCGCGTTGCCAACAATCGAGTAGTAAAATCGTTAAATGCTTAAATGGCGTCGGTGGAGTCACATAACAATCCGAAATCACATATTCACACATTGTTGAATTTGATTAATTAATTAATTATTGTGAATTATTGTGTGCTAAATTAAAAATATTAACAAAACATTAATTTTGTGAAAGTTCGAACAAGATTTAGAGAAAAGTTAATATTATTATTTTGACTGAAATTTCAAATATTTTTTTCCTGATATATAAAATCTTATTTTCTGTTAAAAACAAAGTAAAACAAAAATTATATATGGTATTAAATTAATAAAAATTAAGTTAAAATTAAATAAAGCTATGCAAACACCACAATTATCTGCTCACCAAATATCATTTCACCCCAGCTCAAAAGCATGCTACATTTTTGCTAAATTATGGTAAAGTTTATAACGTAAAAAGTACTAAATGATACCGTATACACATAAAGATCGTATATCAATAGACGCAACAAATTATTCATACAACAAATAATTGCTTACAATTACAATATTATAAATAAACGGCATGTTAGGTTTGTACAGATGTTTATAACTCGGTGAGAGTACTACCGAACCACACCCCAACCATTTACTTATTTAACCAGCACAACAAGACGAATCGATCTAAAGACAACTGACTATTGACTACCTACAGTTTGTGCGCCTTATCTTTCATTATATCTATTTATAGAAAAACTATCAGGAGGTTTTTTGAACAGTAGTGAACTACAACAACAAAAATTCTTGGTTATATTATTTTAATTTTTGGCTAACATGCAGCTGTTTCGAGTGTTGCCAAATAAACATCATCAGTGGTCTTGGAATTATTTCTTGTATTTAATTATTTATAAATAATTTTTTGAGACTGCAAGTACCAGGAATCGAATTCGTGCTCTGCCGAATTTGAAGCTCCGAGTCAGCGCATCTAAACCAATTGACCCAAAGCCGCACTTGACTTTTATGCTCCCACATTTTTCTGGAATTTTTTTAATTTGCTGAGAAAGTTTTATTAACTAATTCACTTGCTGTGTTTATATTAGAACGAAGTCATAAACCAGCTGTAGATAAACTACTAAACTATTATGATTGGCTTTGTCGGAAAATGTTTGTTTAAAAAAATAATATTATTTTGTAAAAATGTTTGCTTGAATAAGTGAATATATACATTTAGGTAATATGGAATATGAGAAAAAAAATTTTCAGCTATATTATATTCAATAATTAGAGATACAATGATGTGTCAGACAGATTGGTTCTAAGCTGTTAGATATGCGAATATGGGGATCAACTATAAAAGCATAGAGAACATAAGTATAAAAGATATATGTAGTTAAATTCCTCCAACCAATGACTGAACTTAGTAGCTAACTAAACTTATGAAATAATAATTTCACAAAAATAAATTTAAGCATTTTTTTATGAACGTTCGTACAGATAATATAAAATTTTATAATAAATACTATGAAGAGCATTAATGTAATAAGTCTCAAATCTATAATAAACTATATATAATAAGCGATATTTTTACATTTTATAATTTGTCAGTTTAAACGAATACTAATAAAGTGCTTTAGTAAAGCACCAAATTTTATCGATGTATATATATATTATGGATTCTTTATTATATGTTGAAACTTCTGGTTAATTTAATAAATTCATCAATATATGTTATATATTGGCGAGAAGTACTGCAATAACTTCTTGACTCGACATATATAAGTTTTAAATATCTTAAACAAATGGAGTCGATGAATACGAAAATATTAATATTTATGTAAATAAGAATATTTGAAATGATATTTAAATTCTCTCAATCTTTATCCCATGAAACTGCATAGTATAGTAAGAGATCACAACTATAGAAATTTATACTAACTGTGCATCTAATAGATACCTGTGTGAAATAAATGCAGTGGTAAAAAATGTTGAATGTTTTGAAATTTATTTTAATTTGAGTCGCGTAATAATCAATATTCTCAGAAAAAAATTTTTCTTTGGTGAATTGTTCAAAAGCACAATGTAGAGAACTTTCCTTTTGCTGACCAGCACTTAACTGTCGCATATGATCTTGTCAATTTTTATAACTTCGCAAAAACTTTTTTATGGTTCTAACCTTTACGACCGATATCTCGAAAACCAAACTATAATGCTGCATAATGTTTTTAAAAAAAATCCGTTCTCAAATTGTCGTTCGATGAAAATGGTTCCTGGCGGGTATGTGTGTTCATAATGTAAAAATCGCTAGATGGCGTTATTATTTTTAGATAGTGTAATCAATGTGAAAAACTTGCAGCTTAAAATCTCTATATTTCTATTTTGATATAAGCTATATCCTGCATAGTATGGTGGGAAAAGTTTTTTAATGTAACTTATAGTACTAATTGTCAAATCTGTGATCCTATAAAATCGGAAACGTGTCAAATAAATGAATAAATGTAAAAAACGTGTATATTATGTTACTTATTATTCCTTATTACTCATTAAATAGAAATCACATTTATACTTTTCAATTCAAATGCGATCTATTTTTATCGAAATATTTCTAACTCTAATAGAAAAGATTCAAAAGAAAATTAAATTTAAAAATGACTTAAGTTTCCTCCTAAGAAGAAAACTTAGTACTATATAGTTCCTCCTATTGCATCTTATTAAAACCCGGTCAACATTTTTTATTAAAAAATATTATTTTGACCAAAATTTAATATTTTGACAAACTATTTTTACTATGATAACCGATTTTTTTGATAGAAAGCAAATTTTGGAATAAGTCATCACCAAGTTGAGGCTGCGAACTCTTCAATTAAAATTGCTTAAAACAATTTGTGCATATAGAACTTTTATACACACCATGGAGCTTTACCAATTCTTTCAAATTTTTAAATTTGTACCCTTATGGTATTCTCATGTTGAAGGTATTTTTACTGTTCAAATTTTTTATTATATTCCCAGATGGCTCTTTAAAGCGAAATTTAGTTCTCGCAAAATTTGACCCAAGTACTTATTATTCAAGGTTTTAGGCTAACTAAGAGCTACTTGTTACTAACATGAGTTTAACAGGTATCTTCAGCCACATCCAAGCTTCGACATTTCAGGCAATTCTTAGGCATGCGAGCTTGTTAATGCAAGTACTCTGCTACGTGAAATTTACTTCTCAGATATAGGTGTTCCTCTTACTACAATTAAACTGGTAATAAAACAAAAATATCTGATCATAGCTCAATACTGGAATGACGAACCCTTTTGTCAGATGTTTAGGTTAGCTTGGTTTAATTTGGACAAAAAAACGCACTAGTCAGCTAACACGGATCCTGCTCACCACCACAGTATTTGTAATGACGGTAGACTGGGTCTACCCTATAATAACTTTTGTCGCGGCTGTAGCTCTGAGGATGAGAAAGAGGAAGAGACCGTGCTCGATCTTATGTGTCAATGTATGTGTCAATTCTTTAGCTAAAAGAATATCAAAAATCTTTAGGGCCCTTTTCTTACTGATCTGATCGAGCTCTCATCCTGTAACTTAGCCAAATTCAAAGAACTGTTGGGTTGGTTTTCTTTCACCCAATGGGGAGTTGTTACCTTTTTCGGTGTTGATTGTATTCTGATCTTTCAGTCTATATACGTACCAACGCTATTCATGTGGTACCACAATGGGCCATTATTTGAGCTCAAGTGGGCTTTTGGATACCACCTACCTACCTATCTACAGTTTCACATTGTCACTTAGTAACTGGATTACCAAACTCATTGCTTCAGATCGTATGTACAACTATTACATGTAATTAGAACTTTATGGAAGACATATTTTTAAATTTTTTTTTTCATATTGACATATTCATTAATTAAGTAAACAACTGTTGAATTATCAACTAATTCAATTTTTACTTGAAGTTACTATTAATTACTGTCAATTTTAATATCTGTATAAAACTATTAATACTTTTTATAATAATTTTTATTTACTAAATTAAAGTAAAGGTAAGTACTGCAAACCAAACAATATTTTAAATATATATAAAAGTATATATTTCCTTACAAGTTTCATTAAAAATAACCTATATTAACGAATTGACTTTTTCACACTACGTAGGAGTGTCTCTTGCACCACATTTGAAATGATATTTGAAATGATTAAATTCAATTAGATTTTGTTTACTATTCCACATAGACTAAATTATTTTAGTAGACTTACTTACGCCTTTTTTCATTTAATTCGAATAAAATTAAGCCAATAATTTAATTAAATAACCAAAGTATGAAAATTCTTTTCATTATGAACTGCTCACTTAAGCGAATCTATTCGCAAGTTACTCTACTTATTTAATCAACAGCTACGTGCCGGACACATTCCAGACTCTGTGAGCTCAATGCTATCGAATTGACAGACTGCTGGTTCAATCGTTTGGACTCATATGACAGCTTGCTGCAATTTAGATCTGCAGTGTGACACGTGCTCGTCTATAAATAAAATGCATTCTCGAAAGGGAAAAGTATTCATGTGATGCCATCCTCAAACGGAAAAGGTGTTCACAGTCGTTGTCTTGTCATTTCATCTTTTATTATTCAATTAACTCCATCTAGAGAGTCTTGTCATCTTTATACGATGCGCACTACTGTCACAATTGTGTGAATTGGCACCACTTATTTGTCATGATTACAAAAATAATCACAAATAAATAAAAAAATAATTGCCAATTCATTTCCATTGAATAAAAATGCTCATTGACAGTTTTGGAATAGATGGCTTATGCCAAAAGGTACTTTAAGGTATTGTCCTTGTACTCGATTTTAGATTTTTTTCTTAATTATAGTGCATTCTCGTACACCATTTATACGAGTACTTGTATATAAAAATAAATATTTATGTGTAAAGATTTTTTAATTACGAAATAGTATCTTTTTGCTATGAGAAAAAAAAATTTCATAATGTCGAAATGAAGGTCGTTAAAATCCTTGAAAGCTTTGTTTTTTTTAAATGAGAATATAATTATAAATACCAATATTCTTTAGTCCTTTATTTGAAAACTGCTTTAAGACAATTTGTAGAATATAGACTTAAAAATTATATTTGCTACTATTCAAGCGCTAACAAATTCACTACAATTTGTAGTTTCAAATAAATAGTTCAACAAGGACTAATAATTTGACGACAAGTTGGAGTTAAAACCATTGGGGGTAGTAAAATGCACAATTTGAGATATGTAGATCAAAACTCATAAAGAAACCTAAAAAAGAGCGAATATCCAAAAACAAACGACATAATAGTTGACTGATTAGTAACATAATAGCCAACGCAACGTGGAGAATAGTCGGTAACAATGCAGTTGACAAATTCAGTTACTAAGGCAACCTTATTGCAATCGTAAGAAACTCTCACCGAATATCGTATTACAATGCAAAATCTACACCCAATAAGAATAGGAAGAAATGGATTCAGATATATTTCTAAAAACAACTACATTTACAGCATTCGACTATTAAAAGAATTAGTGCATTCAAGAGTGACTTAAACAGGTAAAATGTGGACTTACATAAAATTAGACAGACAAAAGGTATATATTGATAAGTATTAAGAAAACCATAGTTACAGAATCAATATGCCTCAGGAACTAGTCGTAAAAACAGATTTTGTGGAAATAATATCCGATGTTTGTCTTACTATGGTCATGTCAAAATAAATAATAACTTTAATACCAGTAGCATATTAAACGATTAACAACGAAACTTGTGGAAGTAATAATAATAATTAATAAACTACCTACGAACTACCTAATACATAAAAAGACTTTTTAAGAATTTCTTATTATTATAATAATACACTTAATAATATACTACACCAATGTATTCCAAGCAGAAGTGATGCTACTCATATTCTAGTGAAAGACATATATCAAAAACTGATATATATACACAATTAAACAGTTGAGCTTGCATGTGAACGCGTAGTCCTAAACTATATAATCTATTATTTTTTGGCATACCAATCATTATCTGCCAGTCTATAATATACACATCCTTTCCACAAAAATTACCAATAGGTAGAAAAATGATACAAATTAAGTCAAAACTAAACAAATCCAACCATTCATCCGTAGATCTACAATTCCTGGCAAACTTTAACTACCCGGAAGACCTGCCAGGCACCCTTAGAAGATAATCAAAGAAAATAAATTGTTTAAAATGGTACAAATCGTATTTGAACCCGAAATATAGTTTTATAATATGTAAAAATGAGTAGTAGGAAAAAATAAGTCACTCAGAGGGAGAACCCGAGGGTGACACAATAGATCTATTAGTGGTGTTCGTGGCGATTGTCCAAAAATCGCTATTTAAAGCTAGCTTTTTTGTAAGTACTCTACAAATGCAATGTAGATAAATAATCGCAGTAATTCACTATAAAGTTTCTATTTATAATGTCTTTCGATTAATTAAAAAAAGTATAGAATAATTTTCCCACAGCCATATATTACTAAATCGGTTTATGTTGTCGTACTGAAGTGGAAAGTGTGGTATCTAATATATCCTTCGCTACGTTCTAATCATTATGGTAGTTCTAATATAGTCTTTATTTCATATGCGTAGGGTATTAAATGTTGACGAGTAATTAAATTGTTCTTATATTAAGTCACAATGAATAATTATCAAAACTCTCAATTAACAAGAAACCCTTAGTAAAAGCAGTCAAAATAAAATTGTTATATTTAACGTTTTTAGGTAAGGAGTCTTGCTTATGGAGATTTTGTACAAAACTTAAAAATTATATCTCCTCTTCTTAACCAGTAATATATATAGGGATAAAAAAAATTAAACGTTCCATTAAATGTTCAACAATTAATTGTGAGAATATAATTTAGTAAATAAGAACGATATATTGTATATGATCCATATTTTCTATCTGCCTATTTGGGTAAAAAAACTCACTAAATAAATAAGAAGAAAACTTCCCTAAATTAGAACGATATGTATATGATCCACGTTTTCGATCTGCCTATTTGGACAATAAAATCCACCCAAGGGTTTCTACCTTTGTTACACGTTACTCATGTATCCAATCATTATTACCATAAAGTATCAGAGCACCGTACAGAAGAGGCACTCTAAGTCTAAAATCATACGAAAGTCCTAAGTTAATAGCAGCAGTAAAAACATTCAATGTTTTTCAAAAAGTATATATTTCATTTGCAGATGCTAATATATTGAAAACTGTTTGCATAATTAGATTTTTGGTCAAAAAAAATTATTGCAATCTGTTGCTGAGGATATGCCTCAACATATTTGGTTGGTATTGCAATAATGTTTTTGCTTTAACTTCTTTATTATTTGTGTTATTTATGCATATACATACATACTTAGACAATATTTCTTACATTATTATTACTTTTTTTAAATACCAGACAAGCGCAATTACTCATGTAGTGCTATGGCAAATGGTGCACTAAGAGTTCGAGAATAAGCAACTGCATTTTAGCTGAACTGCACCAGACACAGCACGCATATAATTTAATTTGCGCTGCAATGTTCTGCCAATTCACCTTTCAGTCTCACTGCATGCACAATGGATACGTCTGCATATATGTCTGCTCTGTTTATTGTACCTTTTGCCATGTCTGGTCCATATTTGGTCACATGCAACTTAACTTAATAGTGACAGCAATGTTAATGCAACAAAAGTATATATGCAAGCATTCGCATATTTACATTCGTTTATATAGGCTTAAGGACACACTGTCTGAAGCCTCCAGACAAGCAGCAGACATACTCGTACACTTGTCTATACTTGGTTAGCTTAACCAGTATCCATAAACACATTCATTGTCAATTTG